GTTCAAGAAAACGGAGTCCCACAGGGAGGCATTTTGAGCGTCACTTTGTTTGTACTGAAAATGAATTCTCTCGCACGAATGCTATCTCGATCCATTTCCTACTCTCTTTATGCTGACGATATACAGATCTCCTCATCTTCTTGCAATCTTTCTAGTTGTGAGCGGCAGTTGCAACTGGCTATAAACAAACTTTGTAAGTGGGCAGATGAAAATGGTTTCAAGTTCTCAGTTGCAAAGACAGTCTGTGTGCCTTTTTCCCTACGTCGCGGGCTTTCCTTAGACCCAGCTTTTGAACTAAACGGTACTCTGATCCCTGTTAGGAAAGAGCACAGGTTTCTTGGTGTCATATTCGACAAAAAACTTACCTTCATTCCCCACCTGAAATTTCTCAAGGAAGTTTGCCTTCGTTCCACAAACCTTCTGAAAGTTTTGGCTCATAAATCATGGGGGTCGGATCAGAAATGTTTGTTGCATTTGTACACCGCGCGTGTGCGATCTCGTCTTGATTATGGCGCCGTGGTGTACGGATCAGCTCGCCCATCTGCTCTCAAGATGTTGGATCCTGTACATCATCTTGGCTTGCGTTTGGCAGCAGGTGCTTTTCGGACATCGCCTGTACTTAGTTTGTATGCGGAATCAAACGAAATGTCGCTGTGTAAAAGCGCTTCGAGAAGATGACAAGATTGTGCTCCTTCCAGCCGACAAGGGCAACTCGACTGTCGTCTTGGACCGTGATGACTACGAGAAAAAGGTTCAAGATCTTCTTGATACTTCCGCTTATAAAAAGCTGCCAAAGGACCCTACATCACAAGTCCAGGCAAGAATGAACAAAGTTCTAGCGGACATCTTCAAGAAGCACCCTGATTCAAGAAGCCTCCACCTGCGACTTCTCTGTAGGAATGGATCTGCTCCAGGCTTGTATGGTCTTCCGAAGATTCACAAGCCTAGCGTTCCTCTTCGGCCTATTGTAGATTTTACCACCTCGCCACTTCGTGCTCTTTCCAACTATCTTCATCGCACCTTTTCTCCTCTTGTGGGAAATACGACTACCTATGTGCGCGATTCCAGCGATTTCGTAGAGAAGGTTGCACTATTAAAGTTGAGCGCTGAGGACACCATGGTATCGTTCGACGTCATCTCGCTTTTTACAAGTGTTCCTGTTCCCCTGGCAGTCGCCACGGCTAGGAACGCTTTAGAAAAAGACAAAAACCTCAGCGACAGAACGAACCTCAGCGTGGATGAACTGTGCCGCCTCCTTGAGCTCTGCCTCGACAGTACATATTTCAGCTTTAGGGGGGAGTTCTTCAAGCAGACCAGTGGAACCGCGATGGGTGCTTCCATCTCCGTCACCACGGCAAACCTCTGCATGGAAGCTATTGAACAGAAGGCACTGCAGTCATTATCTACACCACCCAAGATTTTCTTGCGGTATGTAGATGACTGCTTCTGCGTCCTGGCCAAATCTGAAGTGGACAAATTCCTGGCGCATCTCAAAACCATCGAGCCTGCCATCCAGTTCACTGTGGAGCGCGAAAAAGACGGCACCTTACCTTTCCTGGACGTGCTAGTAAAACGGCAAAAGGAACAGCTAAAATTCTCTGTATACCGAAAACCGACGCACACTGGACGCTACCTCCAGTTTCAATCCAACCACCCAGCCAATCATAAGGCGTCGGTGGTCAGGACACTCTTAACCAGGGCAAAGACCATCTGCTCATCAGAAGAGGACAAAAGAAAGGAGGAACGAACCGTCATTGCTGACCTTAAGAAAAACGGCTACACGAGCAGCTTCATCCATCGCGTTGCCCGCCGTGTAGGCCGAAACCAACGACACGTGCAGCAACAGTTAAGTGCGAATTCCCGCCCAACCTCCCGCATCAGCGTTCCCTACATCAACGGAACAAGCGAGGCACTGGCACGTGTGCTTGCGAAAGAGGGTATCCATCTAGCGCACAAACCTGTGTCTACCCTTGGACGACTCATGCCCCGCCCAAAAGATCGCCCTGGTAAAGAAAGGGCCCAAGGCGTTGTATATAAGATTCCGTGCGGGGTTTGCGCGGCCTCATACATCGGCGAAACGAAGAACTTTAGAGAGAGAATCCGTCAACATAAAAACGACGTGCGCAAGTTCGATCACGAGCGTAGCGCGGTTGCTGAGCACTGCGACGTCAAGGACCATCGCATTGACTTCGACAACGCATGCATCGTTGACGTTGAGACAAATCCTCGAAAAAGACTGTTCCTAGAATCATGGCACATTCAAACAACGCCACAGAACATCAACAGATCTCTAGGGGCTTTACCATCCGCCTATGTGAATGGGCTTCGTCACATTATTGAAAAAGGCAGAGCCGTAGAAGAAGAAGACCAGACACACGCCGTAGAAGAAAAAGAAAAGGACACTGCTCCTCAACGGCCATAGCCGTAGTCGCCCCTGAAGAAGAGGCCGAATTGGCCTTGAAACGTTGGGTCCCTACAGAAGGGCTTGGTTGGTGTTCGAATTTTTTAATATTAATTAATCCCAACCAGACAGATCTCTGTCAAATGTTTACCTTTAAACCTTGAGTTTTCGTATAGAGCAATTTTGTTCCTCACTTCAACTTCATCTGGACAAACTTAACCTAATTCAGAACACAGTCTGCGTGGCGCCCTGGAATGTAATGCGTGTTTTTTGTGACTGGACTTTCACTAAGTTTAATAAGAATAGCATATCAGCTCTTGTGATTCAGCAGGAATTCCTTGACCTAGAAGAGAAATATAAAGATTATGCTCACTTTTACACGGACGGTGCCAAGACTTCATCATTTGTCGGGTGCGCCGTGCATTCAAGTCGTTTTGTAAAAGTTAAACGTCTAGAAGAATTTGCGAGTATATTTACTGCTGAAGTCTATGCTGTGTCTTTTGCATTGGATTATATTCTGAAGACTAAAACTAGACGGGCCGTAATATTTGTGGACTCTCAAAGTGCCATTACTGCAATATGCTCTCTAAAAGCCACTAAGAATATGCTTGTGGAACAGGTGCGAAATAAACTTAACGGAGCTTTACGTAAAGGTCACAATATAAAATTCTGCTGGGTTCCGAGTCATGTGGGAATAAAGGGTAATGGGGAGGCAGACAGGCTCGCAGCATCTTCAGGTAACTGCTCTAAATATCAAGCTAGCTTGCCCTATCAGGATATCAGATCATTAATTAAGTCATCACTTTTTAGTTTGTGGCAGACAGAGTGGTCCATGGAGGCTAATAACAAGCTCCATGTAAGCAAACCAGTCCTTGGGTGTTGGGAAAGCTCCTCACTTAAGAACCGCTTTCACGAAGTTGTATTGTGCCGGCTTCGAATTGGGCACTCCTTCCTTACACACAGATATCTCCTTTGTGGGGAGGATCCACCAGTTTGTGAGCACTGTGGAGACAATCTCACTATTATTCATATTTTGTGGATCTGCCCGGAATTCGACACTGAACGACGCACTCATTTTCCAGAGCTTTTTAGATTTTGTATTCCATTTCATCCTGCTCTTTTGCTGGGAAAGTACCCTCTCGTTCCTCTTGATCGAGTTTTATCATATATTACTAGTACTGGCCTTATACACCAGATCTAGTCCCAGTTATTTTTAGGATCGCCTTTTTGTAATGAGGTAACCATAGGAGTTTCATTAGTTAATTTAGTCTGGCGCAGTATGGCCTCCGTTGCTGTTGCGCCAAAAAACCCGCAAACAACAACAAAAAGTCCAAAAATTGCGGCGATGTCATTGCCCATGCTTTGCGGTTTGAGTGAGGTAAGGCAAAGCGAGAGCCTCCTGCACCATTCGTTGCTGACTAACGCGCCCGATATTGCAACCACAACTACATATTAGTTCCAAAGCGAGCGGCGCTCATCTCACTGGGGCACCGCCATGTTTCCCCGCATCCCTACCGAGCCAGTCACGTGATCTCAAAATCCCTCTCCTAGGTACTGCGGCTAACTTTAGCCGCGGTTAGCGCTTCGAGCAAACGGGCCCTGATAACACTTGGTAACATTAAGAGCATGCAACCGACATTGTTCTGGGCAAAGAAGCGATGTGCGTCGATTAACGCAGCTCCCTTCTGAAGTTTTCTTGTTTCATTGTGCCCTTTCGGATTAACTGTAGCGGAAAATTGTGTGCGCCTAAAATCTACACAATACCCAGGGATTTTAAGGAAATACTGCGGCGTGAATTTTTTTGTTTGTTTGTCAAGACTGATTGCAAAAAAACGCCAAAAGAAATGTTTACCCTGTATGACGTGCCTATCTGCTGTGTATATCGAACACGGCCTTTTCAGCCAAAGCAACAGTGGACGCAATCCGAAGCACCAGGAGAGTAAATCTGAGCGTCAAGACAAAAACTATAACGCCTGAAAACCACAGACTGGGTGCGGTCAGAGAACAGACATGGCGCCTCTTATTGCACTAACAAATTGTATCCTAACCAACAAAAAAATATATATACTTTCATTATCAAATATTAACTGGCACATCTTACTTTCGTGTGAAAACCTCAGCCAACCCTTTTCCAAGTTACGCATCAACCCACGGGCACCAAGCATGCACCCGGTACGTCATATGCACAAATATTGGCAAAACGTTAATAATCGGTGCCAGTCCACACCCTCGTCAGCAGACAGACCCTTCACCACCTTTTGGAATTCCGCAATTTTGAAAGCCGCCCGAAGAAATGTCTTCTTGGTGTCCCCCAAATTTCGTAAGATGAACGCTCTTTGCATTAAGAAACAAAAATAGTTCCTTTTATGTGTAACAGACGGCATCACGGGAGGCAAGATGGTCTTTCACGCCTCCTATCTGCGAGGAATAACCACAATGAACGGGAAACTTTTTATGACGATACCTCACATATAAGAAAGGAGAAACATAATTTAGGTCAATATCTTCCCATAGCGAAAGACACAAACTTGTACTTTAGCACAGAAGGCCACCACGGTCATCGCTACGTCATCGTCGAGCCCGGCACGCGAAGGGAAACTCAGCTGCTACGCTCCGCTTTCACGTTGGCATTGGCGTAGTGCTGGAACATCCAGACTTGGTTGTCGCCCTTGGTGCAGGCCCGCACGTACGCGGCCTTCTGCTTTGAAGTGGCAGACTCAAGGCACAGGCCGGTCTCACGGTTGACGATGATGCCCCCCGCACTGTGGTACCACACTTGGCCAGGCTCCGGAGTGTTTTCTCCGCACGGCGCCATCATCACCTTGCGGCGAATCCCGGACTCTGAATTCTCCACGGCCCCCAGCTGGGCGCAACTATCCTCCATGCGGAGTTCGCCCCTCCAAGTGTAGGACACCAGCTGCAAAGAGGGTGCCGCAGCGGTTGGATATGCTTACTGTCATACCTGTGCGGTTCTGCCCTGCACGATGGTGACTACTATTGGCGAGGGAAATTACTTATAGGGGGCGCTTTGTCCAGCTTGTGCTCCGCTGTGCTTGGTATATATAAATATATATATATCGAATTGAAATATCTTACACATGCCACATGTACGAACTGGGCAAACTTTGGCAAAAGTCATCAAAGCAACATATATATTATAATCAGTGAATGTTTTCAAAATATTGCTAGTTCAAAACCAATTTAAACCCAGAAAATATTTGCGTTACTATTATTAGTAGCCGAGTACGAAAGTGATATGTCGTTAAATAAAACACATAATCTATTGTTAGTATGCATGTAAATAATGTTTGAATCGTTTTCAATGTGCCTTGTAAAGTCGCAAGCTTTCTTGCGGAGTGCAGTAACTTTTATTCTGCATTACGCATTATTTCAATTATTTTTATGCTTATAAGATAAGTATTACTCTTAGCTCCTTCATCATATTAATGTCAAAATATTAGCCAGAATAGCACGCTTGCGAGGATACAGTCACTACACAAAGTTAAAAGGTTAAACCTTTTATTACGGTAATGCACAAACAATACTTTATTTTATATTTTTTTTTATTTTCTGATAACCACAATTACACCTCGCTACTAAAAACACACGAAGAAAATAAAAAAAACGGGGTTTTTGAGAAAATCTGTTCTAGATATTCTAGATTTTCGAAACATTCGCTCATTCGAATATATGTGACGGATTTTATCTTCCCTATATACTGAGCTCATGTGCACGAAAAATATCTATATTTGAGCTACCTCGAGATATCAAGGTAATCGAAATATCTTACATATGCCACAGGTAAGAACTTGGCAAACTTTAGCAAAAGTAACCAAAAGAACACATATTGTTCATTAAAAGAAAAAAAAACTGTCTACAATGAAATTAATTTTGAGTGTTACAGAAGAACCTATAGGTGCAGTAGTTTTGAGAAGTGACAAAATAGCGAGCTCTCAAACATGCGATTTTCCTCAGGTGGCAAATAACACATTTTGCTCTACTAAGGCAAGGTATTAATAAGTTGGTTTACATTTCGACCATTGAAAAATATATATACATCTTGAGAGAATTCGCAATACGAATAAAATGTAAAGTAACAAACTCGCTCAGTTTTTCTTTTTTTTCTGAGGGAAGGATTTATAGTTGGTGGGGACAAGGCGATAACTGAAATGTCACCCACATGTTTGACTACTTGATATTTTGTTACTTCTGAGAATACTCCACTATGACTCCCCTGTGAGACTCTCCAAAGAAATTTTATTATGCTTAAGGAAATAGAAAAAAAAAACTATTCTGAAAGCACTTTTTCAAAAAAAATATCTAACTGTGTTTCTTTTGTGCCTTGGCCAAATTTGGGAAGTTTATACGTCTGACCTATAGGGTATTTTATTTACAGTTATATCACCAAAAGCTCAAAAGCAGCTTTTTTATTGCATACGCGCTTTATATTATTTCTGAAAATTAAAATTCAGTACAGGGTGTTCCCACGTCAGATCGTACAATGATCATCTGTGCCATTTTTTTTAATATTTAGGTAATAAATATGTGTGAAACTCATGCTCTTGGGAGAGGAATTCCGATATATATGAACGTCTTGCTAGTTTTCTTTCGGAGATATGCAATTTCGAAGCTGGGGCGGGGATATTGCCGAGGTTTTACTATGATAATTTGCACAGCCGTGAAGTTCACGCCTCACCATGCGCGGAGTAATGATGTTTCTACCTCTTATATAAACGGCTTGCAACATGTTAAAAAAATATGAAAAACTACAATAAACAATTTCGATGCATAAAAAGTTACGCAACGAGTCATCTAAACACGTATTAGAGACGCGTCAACGAAATATTTAACAATTAACAACTTCATATAAAATTACTCAAAAACAATCAGAATAAGCATATTTAGATACATCTTATGAATATATAAAACATAAGTGCTTAGCCCTTATCGTAGTTCTGTTAATAATGAAGTAAAACAGTTGATTTATAAATGTAGCAAAATCGCTTGCCAATAGTTAAACCAAATACTGTCTTTATTTTTGTTAACTTTCTCTTATCGTTTGCAGTGCCATTAACGAACTTCTGATGGCAAAGCATTAAGGAACATATAATCTCAAAAAAAGAAAAATGACAAAAAGAACAAAAAGTAAGGGCGCAAACGAGCTGGTGTACATTGCACATGGTTGAAAAAACCCCGAGACTGCGGGTAAACGACACAACACTTTTTAGTGTTGTGTCGTTTACCCGCAGTCTCGGGGTTTTTTCAACCACGTGACAAAAAGCCTTAACCCGAACTGGGCTTTGGTGCACGACGCCCGCTCCAAAAAGATTTTCTTGAACCGATAAAGGCTGTACAGCGGTGCTGCTTTCTCTTAGGGTGTAGGAAGTCGCCCCCGCCCGTCCCTCCCCGTCCTTGGTCCTTTAGCCTGCACAGAACTCTCGGCGGACGACACTGCTGCCGGCAATCGATACCGTATGCGGTGGCCATTACCGTGAAACGCAAATCCCACACGCGAGGAAGGTCTGTCACTGAAAAAGCAAAGCTAGGAAAGTCGTTTCTGGAAAGTCAGTCTCTTGGTGTTCAAATTGTACATGTGACGGCAAACAAACAAGCTTACCATTTATAAGTATCGATGCGTACCAACGAAATAAAGATAGAGGTTGGCAACTACAAGGGTTTTGCTGTTGGTTGTTTTCAAGTCAGTTCATACAATTATAGTCCGGGGCATATTTAGTTTATTTCTGTCAAATGTTTACCATGTAAAAGGCATCTCGTTGGGACAAGCGCTCAACCACATAGCTATACGTATACAGGGTGTTTCACGAAACGCGGGCCAAATCTTTCCTGCGAAAAGTACGCATCGCACAGAAAGACGGTTGTCGTAGTATTGGTTCCTGCGAAGTAACAAAGTTAGGAAAAGAGAACATTGCTTGATATAATTAGTGTAATAATAAGGTATAGTAATTATCTTCGGAATTAAGAAATGTTGTATCATTTTAATTAGAAATACCGTGTGCATAATGGAAAACGTTTAAATCCACCCACGTTTGCAAAGATATAAGCCATGCGCTGCATTTTAGGGAGCTCCGAAAAAAAAAAAACTACATTTGAACGTGTTCCGAAAACAAAGAAAGGGGGGGGGGGGGGGGTATTAAAAGGCAACTCAAGGAAGCACAAATAAAACTAAGTTATGGAGAATACGCCTTTCTGCACCTTACGATAGAGCAAGACAGGTGTATAGGCAGTCTTGTACACGTTACTAAAAAAAAGTAATCGATTACAATTACTATTACTCTTGGCTAAAAAGTATTCGATTAGATTACTTGATTACTCGACAGCAAAAGTAATTGGACGTTACTTTAAGAAGTAATCGTTACTTTCCCGATTACTTTATTGTGTGAAGACACATACATCTTCAGCGCTCCTAACAATGAACTACTTCCAACCTATATTTCACATTTGCACAAGTATTGAAGAAGAAAAACTGGCTCCCTCTTCGTGGTCGTTGCACCTTCACAATGCGGACACAAGCATAGAATTCGTGTGAAGACGTTTAATGATTTGGGCGTTCGCCAGTGTGTGTGTGTGTTGGGGGGGGGGGGGGAGCGGAGGGGGTTCTAGATCTTGTTAAGCTTGAGCAAGGGTTGTCGCTCAAAGTTTGCGTCGCTCATTTTTGTTATTCACACGTGGATGAGCTCGCATGTTATACAAAAGAGCAGCAGCTCCAGGATTTGAAACGGATCATGTGTAGTATCCATAAGCGGAAGAGATCGCCCCGACCACTTCTCAACTCGAAACATTGCTTGTCACAAAGGCCACGTAGGGCAAATGAGGAAATATTTCAACTGCCTTTGTTATATTTTGCATCCGCTTTAGGCATTCTTCGGTTCTGGTTCTCCTATGGGCTGCGAGTAGGTACCCTAAGCAGGATGTTTTTATTTTTTTATTTCTGTGTGTGTGTGCGTGAGGGGGCGAGTTGGAACGAAGGACTCACAAAGCTACATTCTGCTTCCTCAAACTTCGCCCTGAATGGCCTTTGTCACGCACTGTGGCTTCCCTGGGGCTTCCCACTCCCAGTCCGAGCTCGAAAAAAAAAAAAAAAAAAAACGGACATTCCACAGAAACTGTACATAGAAAGAGATTGACCTCGTTTCCTACAGCTCCGCAAAAATCTTTCTTTTTTCCGTTCGAAAAAAAAGCTAATTTTATTTTTGTCATTTCATAAAATAAGGCGTGTGCCAGGGGGGGGGGGGAGGGGCCGTGGACAAATTGTAACGGTTACAAGTAATTTTATTACTTCAAAAAGTAATCAGATTACTCTTGTGATTACTGCCTAATAAAAGTAATCAACTGATTACAAAAATACTCCAAAAAATAATCGATTACAAGTAATTTGATTACTTGTAATGCGTACGGTACAAGTCTGTGTATAGGCTTTGTCGGTTCTAGAAAAATGACTTTTTGGAGCTGACGTCCAGCGGCAAAACTCCTAGAAAGAATACAAGCTAGCTGAATTTATTTGAAGGTTTCTTGTCGTCTTTCTCTTGTGGAGGTAATATGTTCCTTCATGCTTGACATCACAAGCAGTCACATTCCAAGACAAATACGTAAAGGATAGCTTATATGAATATGCCATAACATGCTCACAAAAAAAAAAAAAACGCTTGGAGAGTTTCAAACGAATTATTTCTATTGAATATATTTCTATTTATAAATTTAGATCATATCACGGGCTTAATCTTTGGTTTTACTAATGTAGATTGTGGATGACTTGGTGTCACCACGTGATTTTATTCAAACCGAAGTCTGGTGACAATATCAATTCGTTTGTAGCCTTGGCACTGTTGCATATGGCGACGCACCGACCGCGAGTTTGCTGATACAGTAGGCAGCGAGGCAGGAGCCACGATGAACGAGCGGCGAGACACGCGCACAGAACGAATATGACGAGCAGCATCAACAGCTATGGCTCGGCGCTCCGTGGACTGCCCTCATCTTAAGTAACCTTGTAAATACTGAAATAAATAATTAATTTAGTTAGGAACTAAAGGCCTCGACGACTACAAGTTCATCAATTGAAGCATCAATAATCCCACAAGCCATTGAGAAGTTGAAAACTGTCCCGGAATTTAATGGCATTATGACGTTGATTTCGAAATAGGAAACAAATTTGCGCCTCTGCTTAGATACCGACTTAAATAAAACAAATATGTAGGAAATAACATATTTTTTACGTATAGCACCTATCCAGGCACATCTCAAAATATTGTGGCGACGCGAACAGCATCACCATCGGATTCGGCTTACCCGAGGCGCGTGCCGGCAAGAGTTTGCTTAGAACAGATTTTTGAAAACCGACCGGTACTACCTCTTCCCATTTATCAGCGCTCAGTTCGTACAAAAGTATTGTCACAATATGTTTTTTTTTTAAATATGATACCGCACCGAAGTCGACATGCTGTTCACGGCCTAAATAGAGAGTTGATTTTAATTTTTTTTTTTTCTGGAGGAAATTACATTATTTTCTCCAGGAAACTTTCTGAATAGCACCTATCCAGACAGCTTAAATTTCTATTTTTGAAGGCATGCAGTGTTCTAAACATCCATGTGCTCACAGCTTCCTGTAACCGAAATGTGGCTTCCTCGACCCCCCCCCCCCCCCCCCCCCAATGCTCGCTTAAAATCAGTCATGTAAAAACCCGTTACCTGCTTGCCCCCGGTGTCCTCCTTTCGACACGGGTGCAGTCCCAGAGGTTCTACGTTGTCGTAATTGTGACCCATCGAATCCAAGCACATGCCAGTCCGGGCATTCTTCACCTGTGCAGAGACGCAGAGCACGATGAGACTCTAATGCTGCAGTCATTCACTTGTACTAAAGTCGCCCATTTGAGGAAGGGCCGCATAGGTGAAACCCAGAGCCTATAAATATACTATGCTAAGGGCCCATTCCCAGATTGCCTTGCGGGCACTGCTGCTTATTACAGATGAAGCGCAATAATTGATGGTTAAGATATAAATATCCGACCCTCCTGATTTTTTTATACGTCGTCAGGAAGCTCGGGTGGTATCGTTTTTCTCTGCCGTAGTGTGTTTCAACATTCCTGGACGAAGAAGAGTGCATCCTGCAATCTCCAATGGGTCTTTAAATAAACCCAATAATGAATTTAGATAACATGGCGTCTGAATGAAGTGTCGTTACACTGCTTAGCCTGCTTCGTGTTCTTCAATTACCACCCCCCCCCCCCCCCAACCCAAAACAAAATCTCTGCTGAGAAGTTCTCAAAAGCCCTAGCTTTTCACGGCCGTCCTCGCCCCTAAGCGAAGTGTTCTTCCAGTTGAAGCACTATTTAGAAACATGTGAGTGACCCGATTCGAGCGTCACAATCTGTCAAACACTCCCTACTCTGCACAGTCTTTGCCAAAAGTGCAAGCCCACCGCTCGTGTCGCCGGAGTGGGATAGGTCCCGTTCAGTGGCGCTCCCATAGTCGGCCCTCCCTGAGAGTCACGAGGAACATCACTCTTGCCTCGTGGCACTGGCCTTGATAATTAAGTCAAATACATTTAGCGAGGGCGCCAAGAGCGCCAATGCCTCCCCTAGCGCAGGAGACACCCCGCGTCCGAGAAAACGGACGCGCATCACGCTGCTCATGATGGCGCGTTTTCGCACTTTTCCAAGGGAGAGGATCACCCATAACGTCCTAAGATACCGGATTTGCCAAAAGAGCAGCAATGGCTGTTTCCGCTGTCTCGACGGGTTTCCACGACAAAAGATGGCGGCAGCGAACCCTCCCAATTCAAAGGGAAAAACGGGGAGGCTATGTGCGTCCAGCAATTTCGACTACGCAAAGGCTGTTGGAGCCAAGGCCAATTGTTTTCCGAGGAGTAAGTGTATTCCCTAGTAATGTAGTTGACAAAATCACGACGCAAGTGTGAAGTGCCTCTTCACCCTCACAACCCTTACAGCCAGTGAAAGTCAACAATAGCAACGCCGCCGTAACAGATCTAACTCTGCCAATGCACTCAGTGGGCACTGAGCTTTTGGAAAAGACTACACATTATTACATACAAGGTCTGCAGGCTTCTACACTGCTTTATTGCATCAATGCCGAAACCATGACGGATTCCTTAGCTATCACTCAAGCAAAAAAGCCACAAGAATGGTTTCGAGGGTCCTCGTGAGGATATTTTGAGGTTTTAAGAGATAAAATACGTAGCATTTCAGCCAATTCTGCCCAAACATATAAGCCGTACCTGTCGTTTCCCTTAATTCCCGCGTAACATGACTTACCCAGTAATAACTTAAAATTTACATGTCACTCCCAAACCACACAAACGTGATTCCTTTCACTGCTAACACTTTTTCCTTACACTGATCCCTTGCACTGCTGTTTGATGACCCCGTCATTGTCAACATAACTAAAGCGTGGCTTAAGAAAAAAACATTTAGAACAACGAAATCGCATCTCCAGATTGAGAACTAATAAAAATATAGAAAAACCCTGACCCGAGGTTACGCTGCATCGCTAAAATCAGGCATTCGTTTGGAAGGCTGGCAGGCTTTGGTGTGAAATAAGATAGACAGCTCCTACTTTTTAGCGGAAACGTTATGTTGATCCCCACCCCCCGACGCCATAAAAGAGACTGGGATTTATATTGCAGCAGTGAAGAAGAAACAGTGAAATATTATTAGCAGGGGATTTAAATTTCCCATCAATTAATTTGATATATTTGTATTGGCATTCAAAAGAACTGTGCCAAGTGTATTTTGGATATTGCATTGAAGTGTGGCCAAACAGGTACTACAGTTTTGATCCCTTTAAACTTGATGTCCATACTAGATTACATTTTTCATAGCAGTAACTTTAACGAATTTAGTGTGGGAGTATTAGATGCAATTTCTGACCAGAAATTAGAATTGCTAGAAGTGCCCAGTTATATCCAAAAGTCCCAACTAAGAAAAAACCAGACGAATTGGAAGGCGTTGGTAAGGTACGGTGATGAGAGAAAAGCGACATAAAGGACGAAGACGGGACAAAACATTGTTCCATGTTTGTTCTTTTATTCGTTTTTGTGTTGATTTTTTTCTTTATCTAAGAGAAACTAACGTGCCTGATTTTGCAAACGTAAAAAAATGGCAGTATAAAAGACTCATATTAGACCGGTCCCTTGGTTGTTTCACCAGCTTTTAAGAAAGTAGCTGCACTAACGTGATTTGGAAAATTTGTAGGAACCTTGCTGAAAAGTGTGCGACTAGTTTTTCCCCATACAAGATCTACACGATTAATGACAAAAACCCATGAATAGACCATCACGTTATTCACATGCAGCGCAAACCCTGGTGCACTCGTAAAAGGGCCAAGGCTCTCGGTCTATAAAGCCCTTCTTGTTGGGCTAGTTGGTGAAGAACGTTTTGAACCAAAGTTAAAAGCACTAAAGACACAAACACAAGAGAAAAGACGAACACGGGCGCTAGTCAGAACTTTATTTGATAAAGGAAGATGGAAGTACGCACACACACACACACACAAACACACACACACACACACACGCACGCACGCACGCACGCGCACACACACACACACACACAAACACACACACACACACACACACAAACACATATATATATGCAACGGGCATGGTGGCGGGAGGCCGAAGGCCTGGGTATATAACTGAGAAGAAAAAACCCTTAGTGAAAACAGCAACAACGGACGATTTAATCTTCGACGTTTCAGCCGGAGTCCGGCTTTCGTCAGGAAGAAGTTTTACAGATGAACGCGGGTGGTATTTATACAATGCTATGGTCGAGTCCAAGTTTCAAAAACGGCGGGATGAAGGTTGGAGGTTCCAAAGAAGCATAGGAGGAGTTCCAGATGGGCGAACGATATATATACAGGGTGTTTCACGAGAAGAGGACAAATTCGATACTGCTAAAACTTCGCCTCGCCACAAAAAAAAAAAAAGGCTTGTATCGTTTTGGTCCTAGGCCAGGGGCCTATTTAGGAAAGTTATTAAAGATTGAAATATTTAATTTGTTTATTTGTTTTGCGTAATTAACTTTTTGAATATTTTTGTTTAAGGGCATGATTTCAATTAGAAAATTGCTGAGTATCATGCAAAGGCTCTAAATCAATAAATTGCAGAACGATAGAAGGCACGCGCAGCATTTTACGGGTTTGTGAAAAACCGCACAACTTCGAAGGGATTTTAAGTTTCGGTTTGCCATCGGAGCGCTTCGTGACACCAACTGCACCGCTCCCCGTGGAGGAATAGTGCATCCAAACTCTGCTGTGCTGTCCTCGCGCAACGCAGCAGATTCTGGTTGCACTATTTCTCCACGGGGCGCGGTGCGGTTGGGGCCGAGCGCTTCGACTTTAAAGTGAGAGGGAACCTCTTATTTGTTTATACTAATAACTTCACAATGTTGCACTATCTTATGAAATGTAATCCACTCTCCTCCATAAGACCTCAACCCTTTAAAATAAAAATTAAAATAAAAATGCGCGGCAAAATTTAACAGAAGAATGTTGTCAAAATTGTATAAAGTTCTTTGGCTTCAAATAGTAATTTATTTATTTCAACAGCGAAATGTATTTACATAAATATTCTATAATGCATCTTCAGCTGTACACGTAAATATGTATTTAATTAGATACATATTTTGTGCAGCTAATTAATTTTCCTTTTTAGATAAATCGATTTTATGCAATGCATTAAAACGTTATCAACCCCCCAAAAACCTTTTTGTCACCGAAAAAAATACATTACGCTACCTCACGCAATTATTCTGCGGCGAAATGTAGCGTTATCGGCCCGCCAAAGTTTAAGAACTAACCGTTACCTTAATCAAAAGTTAATGATTTTCTGAATTTGCAGTGAGAAAATGGGGCCCGTTTTTGCCCATTTACAGTAACTGGCGGCATTCAGCCCCGTAAAATTAAGATCTCCGTAGGCCAGCATTTCCCCACTATAAGTATCAGAAAATTACATAACCTTTGAATAAGGCAACGGTTAATTCTGAAACATTGGTATGTGGTTTGAACCGCTAGCGCTACATTTGGACGAAAAATGGGTGTTAGGAGACGCGCAGTTTGTTTCTGGGGTGTAAAAAGTTCAATAAATTTATTTTTGACACAGCCTGTACATAAATGCAGTTGAATTCTTGTTTGTTTGAATTAACAAAAATTAATACGCCCCTAGTCCCGAGTGGTGAATGCTAAGACTGCTCATACCCCAACTGAGAATCTATTCATCCAGTTGATCCCATTACTGGCCTCAGATGACACTAATGCCCTAGTTACACGTGCCGTTTGAACTGTGATTAGGCAAACGGCGGTTAGCGACCGCTAACCATGGTTTCGCTAAACTGAACTGAGATCAACGTTACTCAAACCACTCAGTTGGGAAATCGCCATTGTCGCAACGATCCGTACAAGAGAACCGAGCTAATTGCGATCGCAACGCCACCATTTTTCCCGCAGCGGCAACTCGCGAAACTGCACGACTGCTTGTATTGGTTCGGGAGTATCGCGTTCGATAGCGTCCGCTCTGACTGTTCTATTTTATCTTTAATCGACCATTTTGGCGCCGAAACATATACAGCGGAAAAAAAATCAGGGATGCCAACCCCCATCCCTCAAGAGGACGAGCCACGAATTACTTCGGAAATTAAGTTGCACCCAAGTCGAGACGCGCTACCTGAAATCACGGATGAGACATAGTTGTACAAAAACAATATTAATTGTACAGAAATTCTTGTAAACTGAAGATTTTTGAAAACATCACACGCCTGTTATTTTGTACTAATATCCAATAGAAG